ATTATCATTTTGTTATTGTGAATTTTTATGAGAAAATTTGCCATTTCCAAGCTGAAACTGGAGAACCACAGTTTTTGTGAAAGTTCTTATTACATATACATAATTTATAAATAATATATACACAATTCTATAAACTCTGTATGTACATCAAACAGTGATATATGAAACTTTTACATCAACAGTTAATATGACAGGAAAATTTGATTGAAATGTCCAATTCTGTGGGAAAAACAATTCGTTCCATATTTTTTTAATCTAGTAAAATAAAGAATCAATCCATTATTAGATTTCTCAAATAGTAATTATATAATGATATCAAAAAGGGAAAAAAGTAATTACTGATTCTCTTTCTAAAATTATCACTAAACACAAGTAATATGAAAGTCAAAATAATTTCTTTGAGATTTCTTTATCTATAATAGTTATTCCATTGATCAAAGTGGGGCTTGAGAAACAAAATATGAATTGTAATGGCCTGTAAAAGATGATTAAACATTCAAATGAAATTAAGAGGAAATTTTAAATTATGAAATAATAACCATAGATATTTTATAATTTTAAAGGTTGTTTTTGACAATCCATATCAGCAATTAAGGGCATACGATACAGTTTTGATCCCTTGGTGAATTTTTGATGAAAGTTTGCAAGCTATTTTTCACCTAGTCAATTCAAATATGCATTGAAAAATAGACCTTCATGTGCCTCTTTTAATTAAAGATAAATGGGGTCGAAATTTTATACATTTACTGGAAATTTCGGTCTCTTGGACATTTCTATCCTTTGAAAAGACATACCTAACTTTTTTGTTTTAAAAGCAAGCAGACTTTTGTAAAAACATCTGTGACATCTTCTCTACATCAGTGTGCTTTGAATTTGTATAACACTTCTCTTTGGAAATGATTCATTGTTATCACATTTCATGATTTTAGTAAAAAAAACAGCATTTTTTGTTGTATATTTTTCTAATCTAAAAAAAAATCATCAGTGATTTGTTTATAAAAATTAGCACACATAATCTTCATACATAAATAATCAAGCTAAATCTCATTTTTTAAAAAGAGGGGTCCATGAACTTGTTTTCAAGATAAATCAATCTTAAATGATAAAAATGAGTCGAAAAATGCATCTTTTCCCGATATGTCACAGTTTGACGTCTCTAAAAAATAACGTTTTACATTAGGGATGTCATTACCTCCCCTGTAACTGTATCGAATGCCCTTAAGGGATTCTAATTTCAGTGTATATAACTGATATAAATTGCTTCGCCAAGCGCAGCTGGATACAATCGCAGAGGTCCAACCCTGAACAGTTGGGGCAAAAATGGACACAATATTCGCACTTGATACAGGTCTGAATTTGGATTGTAATCAAATATTTGACACATAATAGGTTTCTGTCACAGAATAACTGTAGTCAAAGAACTTAGAATTGGTAATATGATATGAATTTATATTCAATTTTTTATTTTTTGCTTTTGTACAATACACTTTGCTGTTGCGAAATGAACCCCCCCCCCCCTCCCCCCACAAAAATAAAAAAATTTACCCCCCCTTTTTTTTGGCTTTTGTGCAATACACTATGCTGTTGCGTATTGACCCTAATCACTTCAAGACAATACAACATTTCTTTAAACATAATTAAAAAGCAGTGTAAGGGAGGTAATCAAAACATTGTGTTTGGATTACCTCCCTTACACTGCTTTTAAATTGTCTTAAGTAATTGTCCATTATCCTGGAAACTCTTGTTTTTCCCCCTTTTTTGCCTCTAATTCCTAAATGGTTTGAGTAATAACCCCCCAAAGCAAATCCTAACCATCCCTTTGTGGTATTGAAACTTGTGGTATAATTTCAGAGAGATCCATACACCGTTCCAAGTTATTGTCTGGAAACTAGAAAAATGCTTATTTGGGCCCCTTTTTGGCACCTAATTCCTATACTGTTAGGACCATAACCCCCAAAATCAATCCCAACCTTCCTTTTGTGGTTATATACCTTGTCTTTAAATTTCATAGATTTCTATTTAATTATACTAAAGTTATTGTCCTGAAACCAACTGTCTTCAAATGAGGCTGATGACAACGACGTGATACCAATATACGACCGCAAAATTTTTTGCGGTCGTATAAAAATGACATTTGTGGAGACTTGTGCATACAAAAAATGACAAACAGTTAAATTTGGTCTTTCTAACATATCAGATGTTTAACCTTTTAGCATACATATTAAGGAAATGCAAAGGTCTAGAAATTTAAATGTCCCAAATACTCGGCAATAACAAGCTACAAAGATTTCACATTTACAAGACATTCTGTGACGAAGTCAACTATATTGAGATAATCTAAATCACAGAATTGACAACCTGAGTGATGTAAACATGTATACAAATTAAACTAAACTATTTATTTACAAAGTACTACTGTATTTCAGAAAATTTTCAACGTGTGTCTATTTTTTGCTAAATTGCATTTCACACCAAAATATTTCTATGTAAATTTTTCACTGTCTATTGTAAAGCATTGTACAAGGCTCAGATAGGCTGAATGGACATAGCAAAGATCTTAATGCCTCTTCTAAGGCCCAAACTGCAAACAAAAACTATCATGAAAATAACAGATATAAATTTATACTGTACCAGCCAATTTACATTGAAGGTAATTTCATGAACTGAGGTATATTCATTTTTTAACAATTTTAAACTTTGCTGATAAACAAAGGAAAATATATAAATAAATTTTGTTTTCGTAAGACTTTCAAATTAATATGGATTTACTTTGAAAGCCTGATATTGTTTTATATTTTTGATGTTGTTGCAAAAACAATATTGCTCTCATCTAGGACAGACACTGAAAATTTATAAATTTTCCTTCAATTTATCAAATTTTATTTTATAATTAATATAGGTAGTATTCATGCAACACTGCTAGTAGCTCTTCAACATTTTGCCATTTATGATTTTATCAATTTTGTTTGTTTACAGTAAGTTCAAACAATTAAAAATAATTTCAGCTCAAAATGTTCATAATTCTATTACAAATTGAGCCGTGAATTAACATTCATGTATGCATAAACAACTTATAACAATTGAAAAACTTTACCATACATGCCAAAAACTCTGACATAGAGAAATTCTGTACAGTGAAATTACAGTCATTTGAAGTGCACCAAAAAGAGTTCCACAAACTACAGAAATTGAAAACCACAAATAAAAGTACTCCCATAGTTATTAGATTTCTACAATTTTTTATCTTCTGTTTGATTTCACCAAAGCATTTACATGTAAAAAATAACACAGTATGTACATCAAAATTACAAAACAATAAACTGTACACATTTGTACATTCTAACATACATAGCACTAGTGGCAGAAAGTAGCTTCCAATAAAACAATGATTGATAGTTTAAAAAATGTTTTCCAAAAATATTTGGTGTACTCTTCGAAATATAAAAATAAACTTGGTTGACAGATGGGGAGATAAAAACAATTTTTTTTACGATGTTCTTTATTGATATATTTATTATGTTACTTCTTCGATAGCAGATTCATTCCATATGACTTTATACAACCAATTTCTTAGCATTTGATACAAATAAAAGCTACAGAAAATGATTAAAATTGGTGTTTAAACTTCGTTTCCTATTCATGGTGAAGACAGATAAGTTGTTTCAATTCATCAATTTGTAAGTCATTTTCACAATTTTAAAAGAAAACATTTACAATTTGAACTGTTTCCACTAATTAACATATAACTGATACTGGCTTTTTCCGAATAAGAGTCATCACCAAAAATATATAAAAAATCTCCAACTAATTTTCGTTTGAAAAAAAAATGAAATACTGGTCAATCTGTGTTTATAAAATATATTTAGCCTGAGTATCAAACTGGTCATAATATATCAGAAAAGTGATAGTTTCATCATTGTTGATTTTGAGATGTTCATCTACTTGTAGATGTACAATATATCACACAATAAAATATCTGGACTTTTAACTGTGCATAATAAGAAATGTCCAAAAAAATGTGTTATTGATGGCATGAAAACTAGGTAGGAAGCTGGGAAACACAACTATATTTCATTTGGCCATACCAAAGCATTACAATCTTGAACATTGTGTCAGCAGAATGATAGCTTGTTAAAAGGCCATACAAATTAAATTTAAGATTTTCAGGCAAATTAAGCATTTTTTTACAAGACCATGAGTCTTTTGCAATATATCAAATACTATTAACAAAAGCACATCCGCAAAAGCAAATATAAAGTACAAGCTATCCATGTGGTATGGCCTGAATATATATATGACTTAAATCTCCTTTCTGAGGAACATTTTTGTGTGATACAAATAAAATGGTTTTGTGTTTATTTTAACAATATTATGCATGATGACTAAATGTACAAAAAATAAACAGATCAACACACTTCTACCATTTAAAAGGGTCATCCAAGTTATTACATATATCATATGTATACATATATATATATATGGATCTGTCATAGAGTTGTCACTTGTTTAGACGTACATATATATATATGTATGGACCATTCTTAAATTTAAGACAATTGACTTAAACCATAGAATATGGTATAATTTGGTTCAATAGTATTGCTTAAAATGTAAAACAGCTGTTAGTTTTGAATTAAACAAAGAATCATGTCAATCAATAGACTTTCCAATAGAAAATTGTGGCCTAACTGTTATCCCAATGTGGGTATGTTTGGTGTAAACTTTATGAGTTTCCTATGTTGCTTGCAAAATGGAGCATTTTTTATGTTAAATGCTGTATCATATTCTAACAATATTTAAAGTTTTGTAAAGATACATTGATGTAGGTCGATATGAGACAAACATTTCAAAATTGTGATTTTCTATTTTTCTTCACAATTAGCAGTTTAAAGTGATGCTCATCGGACAAACCAGCATAACTCAGGTAACAACTGTATGCTTTTTTCCTACTATGGTTGCTTAGATCTTTTTCACTGGTTCCAAATTAAAAAACAAAAAAATAAAAACCATTTATAATATTCAAATCTCTGTACAGAAAGAGAATTAGTAAGTTGGAATAGGTATTTTGTATATTTAACGCTGATAGCTATTTATTAACAACTTTTCGCAATTTCTTTTTGGACTTTTGGAAATTGTGTCAGAATGCATACAACCTACATGTATATAGCTATGTGCAGCACCAAATCGAAATTAATCCAATGTCATATAAGGTTACACTGTTAAATTTCCAATTAAAATAATTTTTGTCTTCCATTATCAATCAAAATATTCTAATTGATCCTTTCCAATTAACCACATAAAATATTTATAAACAACATGTTACATGTAGGAAATACCCCTTTTCAAAAAAGAAAATACAGGGGAGATAACTAAGAGCATGACCCTTTCATGATAAACAAATGCAAAAGTTCTACTGCACTTTAAACTTTAATATTTCTTTCTGAAAGTTCAATCTATCATTTCTTCTCTCTTTTCTTTTATCCATTTTTCTTTCTTTCAAATTTAACAATCCTTTTTAAAGCATGAAAACACTGGTCAATTGCAATACCCACAACTAAATTCTATGTTTTTATCTTTAACCGATTCGTATTGACAACCAACACATACCGTGTGATACCATTCATCACAGAGGTCACATTGCACCTGAAATATATAATACAATTTTATTAAAGATTTCATAAACAATTATCACCAGTCCAGTAGTCAGTACTTTTGTGTTGACATGAATTATCATTGATATGGTCATAATTATAAATTAACTGTTTTATAAAACTATGAATGTTTCGAAATACTTAGGATTTTTACCCCAGTAATAGATTACCTTAGCTTTATTTGGCAAAAAAATTGGAATTTTGGGTCCTTGATGCTTTTCAATTTTGTACTTTAATCAGCCTTTTTAACTTTTTTTTATTCAAGCGCCACTAATGAGTCTTTTGTAGATGAAAAGATTTGTCAGTGTGTACATTAAACTGACAGTGAAAAAGAGTTCAGAAGTGTCTCATCTATTTTTCTTAGATTTAGCAAAAAAATATGTTCAAACTAACTAACAGTGTTTCCATTTTTTATTTTCTGATTCAATTATGTCAGATAAGAGTTCAAATGAAAATAATTTTAAGTTTTGCATCCCTTTCATCATTAGTTTATGGTAAGTATTTAAGTGAAGCATTTTGTAAGATTAATAATGAAAAACAAGTCCTTAAATAAGAATAAGTTTCCATGGGGCGCTAATTTTTGTTCTGTGGAAAATCTGTGCAAGTTTTGTTGAATACTATGACACCTTTTCCAGGAGTGGCGGAATAATAAAGAGTGACTCAATGCTGAATCAAGACTAAAGAAGTGATTTCTGTGTGTCCTTATAGCTGGGCGCTGTCAGGTGACATGAAAGTATCACTTTTGAGCAAAAGAAAAATTTGAATAAATGATGGTCTGGGTGGGGTTTACAGAATAGAGAATAATAGGCAAAACATGCAGAATAAATGGCTTAAGAAATAAAGAATTGAGAGTAATGGGCAATATAAATTAAGAACAGAGAAAAATGGTCTAAATCAAAATGAAGTGCCCTATTGAGACCCTCGTGCATTGTATTCCACCAAATAAGGAAGGGAATACTCAATAGATATTCTTTTTTTTTTTTATCACAAAAAATCTTAAGTTCCAGTTGGAATCTACTTAATCCATTGAGAATTTTTTAAATGTGTTAAATTTCTCAAGATTATACCAGACTCCTTAATAAGAGAAATTGCTTATTTCGTATACTGGAAGAATCTAAAATTAAAACTGCATTTTAATTTTGATATTTTGCTTTCATTTTTTTTTAAAAGATTTTGAGTACTAATTGGATTCAACCTAATCCATTGAAAATTTTTTAAATATATTTAATTTCTGAAGCTTATACCAGAACCATTATAGAGAAATAGCTTATTTCCAATACTGGAAGAATGTAATATTAAATCTGCATTTTAATTTTGATGTTTTGCTTTCATTTTGTAGATTCTTTTATCATTTATTTTTCTTGATTCTGTAAATTCAAAAACCAATTCATTTTTTTTACCTACCCATTTTACTCTTTTATTTTTTGGTCGTTTACATTTCTCTGCAGCACATTTTTCTTCTTCGTACCATTCAACACCATCTTCTAATTCAGAATAACCTTCTGCACCTGAAGGTTGTCTACCTCTTCTTTTCTTCTGGACTATGAAACAGAAGAACAGATTATCAAAGTTTTCTTCTGCACCATGAAACAGAAGAACATAGTATTTGAAGTTTTCTTCTGCACTTTGAAACAGAAGAACAGATAATCTTAAATTTCCTTCAGCACTATGAAACAGAAGAACAGATTGAAGTTTTCTTCTGCACTATGAAACAGAAGAACAGATTGAAGTTTTCTTCTGCACTATGAAACAGAAGAAAAGATTATTTAAAGTTTTCTTCTGCACAATAAAACAGAAGAACAGGTTATTTGAAGTTTTCTTCGCACTACGAAACAGAAGAACAGATTATTTGAAGCGTTCTCCTGCACTATGGAACAGATTATGCTAAGTTTTATGTATTAAATCATACTTGATATATAGTACAAACCAGATTGTTACTATAGGATAAGCTCATTTTATCTTGTGTATACTTTTATAAATATTTTCAAATCAGGTGTCTCCCATTGCTCTACATAAGGATAAAGAATTCATTGGTAGCTCTCCGATTCATTTTGAGCTGTCTTAAATCAGGAAGGGCTGCTCTACAGTTACTGCAACACACAAATGCTAAAACCTAAGTGGTTCATGTATAATTAATAACAAACAAGGATACCTTGGAATCTTAATAATGCAGCTAATATAACATACTTTGGATTTGTTTATTTTCATGGCTTTGATTTACATTTGATTACGTCTGTCGTGATTTTGCATAGTCTGCAGTCAAGCGAATAAAAAATTAGTACTTTGTTGAACATTTCAATTTATGGTTCAGCTTTACCCACGTAATACATGAAAATTTGTATCCCACGAATAATAACAAATCCACGGTATGTCAACAGACACTTTTTTAACCCTACAAGATCATATGAATGTGTTTCTTAACTTTGCTGGTTGCCTGTCGATTTTCATTTCAAAAATCTGAAAAACAAATTTTTTTTTGCTGTGGCCTTTCTATATTTCTTTTTTTTACCTTTACAATGTAAAATAGTAAAAGATCCATTAAAAGAGACAGTAGAGTTGATTCAGAGTGTGATTGCTGATAAATTGGAGTGATTCCATTGTGATTTTAATATTTTCAGACCGGTTTGCTTGAACAGATTGTTTTTTAGAAATACACTTTACGATTTCAGGTTCAAAAGTCAAGCAAATAGAAAATTAGTACTTTGTTGAACATTTCAATTTATGGTTCAGCTTTACCCACGTAATACATGAAAATTTGTATCCCACGAATAATAACAAATCCACGGTATGTCAAGAGACTTTTTTAACCCTACAAGATCATATGAATGTGTTTCTTAACTTTGCTGGTTGCCTGTCGATTTTCATTTCAAAAATCTGAAAAACAATTTTTTTTTTGCTGTGGCCTTTCTATATTTCTTTTTTTTACCTTTACAATGTAAAATAGTAAAAGATCCATTTAAAGAGACAGTAGAGTTGATTCAGAGTGTGATTGCTGATAAATTGGAGTGATTCAACTGTGATTTTAATATTTTCAGATCGGTTTGCTTGAACAGATTTTTATTAAGAAATACACTTTACAATTTCAGGTTCAAAATTTACATAAACATTTGAAATTGGGGTCTGCCATTGTCTGTGTTAGAGAATCATAGATCAATGTCTGGCTATTTTAGCAAAATGTCTGGAATCATGCTGATTGTTACCTTGTGAACGAGTATAAAAAAAATATAGCATGTCAGTGTAATACAAAGCGTATATTCATATTTCATTAACATGTTATTGTTCTCAAATATATTTACAGCTGGATGTTAGCAGCCATCAATCAATCTTTATTACATATTCTATAAATCTTAATTAAAAATTCCTTTGTGATTACAGATTTGATTCATTGTAAAGAATTATACAATCTGTTATAATGAATCAAATTTTATTTTTGATAAATCCTAAATAAGTTTTCCACTATAGAGTAATCATTTATTTCATGTGTGAACATTAGTTCTTCTAAAAAAATTATACCTTTATCCGCTGATTTAGGAGGTGGTGGTGGTGGTGGTGAGGGTGAGGCTGGTGGTCTAGGTGGTGGTGGCGGTGAGGCTGCTGTCTTTTTCCGGGGTGGCGGTGAGATTGCTGTCTTTTTCCTTTTCTTTGCAGGTTTTTCATCTTCCTCAGTAATGTCAAGTTCAATTTTTGGTTGAATATTCTTTGCTTTTCGACCCCGTCCCCTTCCTGGACCAGATCCTAGACTTGGTCCTGGGCCTTTACTTTTACTACCTGGTGGTCTTCCTTTTGCTGCCTTTTTACCTTTCTCTACAAGCAAATATATATATTTTATTAATATGAAAAAAATTGCTGATATCAAACATAATTTACTAACAATGTGTTTATGGAACAGTAAATAATTATTTGAAAACACAAAATCAGGAAAATAAAACAAAATGCAATAAAATTACTTCATAATCTTCATTCTAAAGAAAATGCCTAAAAAATCTGCATTTCTATTTTACTGTCTATGGTAGAATATCGTAATCATTGCCCAATCAAAATCAACCTATCAATATTTCTGTAGCAAAATTAAATAAAGCTGACAGTGAGAATCATAATGATCATAAGGTGAAGTAAACATTTTTTTCTGTTTGGTGTCACATTATGAGGTACAATACATATGTGAGCACAATTCCATCTTCTTTTCCTTGATTGTGACATCTTTGAAAGAGACTTTTTTACAGAATTTGTACTTGCACAAACAACATGACAGGTGCCACTTCTGGGGCAGAAATTTCTTACATTTCTCAAGCACCTGAGTTCACCCGAGTTTCTAATGGAGTTCATGTTGCTCAGTCTTTAGTTTTCTATGGAGTGGTTTGTGGTCTTTTCGTTGTATTTTCTTTTTATAACATGACATTATCAATTTTTCTTTGGCTTATGAGTTTTAAATGTCCCGTTGGTATCTTCCTCTGCCTTTTTTTTTAACCCTTAGTGGTAATTATTTCTAAAACTAATACAACCAAAGTGCTTGTGAACACTGAAGAGTAAAGACTGCAGTAGAAACTAAAACATAAACATTGGATTGTATTAATGGCATACGATACGATACAGTTACAGGGGAGGTTGTGACATTGCTAACGTAAAATGTTATTTTTGCGACGTCAAACTGTGACATATCGGGAAAAGATGCATTTTTCGACTGTTTTTTATGGTTTAAGGTAGCACTACAGTCAGAATTTTCTGACTCCAACCAACAGTCTTTAAAGATTAATTTCTCCAAAACTACTCAATGGATTTTAAAAATCTTTAACTCATTTTAAAGCTGAAATATAACTCTTTCTTAATCTATAGATAAATTTATTTTTGGTATGATTAATCTCAAAAGATAGCTCATTAATTGCCAAAAAAGTGGTCTTCCAACTTGGATGAAAATGGCACATTCAGGTCAAATGGTAGTAAAAATTTGTTTTCATCCCTTTAATCAACCATTCACAATCTACAAAACCGTGTCTCAGATTTTTGATATATGCCTCCAGTAATAAGATATATTATTTTTACTGCTGGATGCCAAACCTCATTTCACCTTTCATCTTTGGAGACCTATAAATTCATTTAGAAACAAATTATCCAAAAACTGGGACACGGTATTGTAGAAAATACTCCCTTCAATCACATATATCAAAGTCAAGCCAAAGGGGGTACCCATAAAGTTTCTATTTTCATTTTTTCCTTACAATTCTCATGAAAAATTGTTCTGAGAAATGACCTTAAAACTGAATTTCCTCTTAAGAACCCCTATAAATGCCACATAAATACAAAAATTCCACTGGGAACACCCCAGGAGTGTTCTGACACCATTATACTTTATCAATAGAACCACACACATTGTGTCTTTGATGCTCTAATGCTGTAAAATTTGCATTTTGTGTGCACTGTATAACACTAACTTGGCATTTGGCGGGAGTTTGACGTCACAGATTTGACCAACATTTGTGATGTAGTAATTAAATAAAGACAAAGCTCCGCCTCTGTCCAGACAGTCTAAGATAAGAGAACAACAGGATTGGCCAGCTGCATCATAATTAATATTTAACATCATTATTCTCACTATAAAGAATAATTTTCATTTGAATTTTAAAAAGAAATATGATATGACCATGATGACTGAAATTAGCTAAAATATTAAAATTAAAATACATGTCCATAAAAAGATCAAGGCCATCCCCTTCTTGAAAATAGACTGTCCAACATGATTTATGAGTTTCATGGAATTCAAAAATTTCACATAAACTTAAAATTAGTTAAAATGCCTAAAATTATTTTTAAATGTAGAAGACCAAAGACGAGAAATTTATACAGGCAGTCAGAGGCTTTCAAAAATACTTTCACACTCTTTTCCATAGTTTTTTTTCATTTTGGTAGATTTTTTCCCTTTAAATTTTTTCCTATTCATATCTTTTTCTTTTTCTCTGTTCTAAACTTCCATGTTTTATAAATTAGTTTTGTTGCAATGCAATGAGATATTTATCTTGTGGTCAGGGATTAACAGCTGGACAATGGTATCAACAGATGATTGACATATTAGCCCCTCCCAAATGCCTATATATTTAGATTAATTACATGTGCTTTTATTTACATACGTTCATTATCAATTTACTCCCTGTTGTGATATGATAATGACTTTGGGATTTTTACAAACTGTGCAGAATAATACTTACTTCAAAATTATGTGATAAAAAAAATATCTTCAAAAAATCATTGTTAGACTGTAGTGCTACCTTAAACTGATTTAACTTGAAAACAAGTACATGGACCCCTCTTTTTTAAAATGGCATTAGGTTTGATTATGTATGAAGATTAATTGTACCAATTTTAATGAAAAAGTCGATGAATTTTTTTTTAAATTTGATAAATATACCGCAAAAAATGACGTTTTTTTCCTAAAATCCTGAAAATTTGTTAAAAATGAATTATTTCCAAAGAATTGTTGTACATATTAAGAGCATATTTATGTAAAGAAGATTTCATAATGTTTTTACAAAAATCTGCTTGTGTATATCTGTTGAAATTAAAAAGCTAGGTGTGCCTATTCAAAGGATAGAAATGTTCAAAAAACCGAAATTTTGAGTAAATGTCTAAAAGTTTGACCCCTTTTATCTCTTAAAGTAGCACATGGAGGTATTTTTTTTAGTACATATTTGAATTGCTTATGTGAAAAATAGCTTGTTTGCAAATTTTCGTACAAAAATCATCGTGGGAACAAAACTGTATTGTGTGCCCTTAAGTATTGGAAACCAATACCTATGAACTGAAGATATCTTCCTTTTTCTATAACTGAGGTTGATTCAACAACAACTATGAACAAAGAAAGATAACTCAAATTTGAAATATTACTTTAACAATTTCAAGCTTTTAATTCCATAACATCTAATTGAAAGCAAGATATTTCAAAGTTTTTTGTATTTTTTCTTTCTGAACATCAACATGACAATATTTATTACTTGTAACATTATTGTTTTTGAGAGTAACACAAATCACACTTACTTTTGTTAGAATCACTGTCACTATCATCCGAAAAATTAAATGGATCCCTGTCCATGCTGTCACGCCTGTCATTGTGACTCTCATCATGATGACGACTATGATCACTGTGGTTAGACATGCTACTGACACTTCCAGGAGAAGGTAACTCCACTTCAGGACTGTTTTGTATAAAATATAAAATGATATTTAAAAGGAATGTTGTGACAATTTTATCTTGACTCTGGTTACTGTAAAGTGCATTATTTTCACAGAGATTAAATTTTATGATTTTTTAAGCCAAACCTGTTTGTGAGATTTCATTTCATGATTTTTCTGAATCCTGATTCTGATCTTTTAAAAAGGTAAAATTTACAGGAGGGGAAATTTTCAAGATTATATGAAAGTTAAGGAAAATATACCCCTTGCTAAAATTTCATACTTTGCAGTAATCTTTGGGCATGTTGGGATTTCTGTGGAATCATTATTATTCGTGGGATATCAATATTTCGTGGGTATAGGCAAACAACGAAGTTAAATGTTCAACAAAGCACTAATTTTCAATAGGCTTGCATGCAGACTTTGGCAAAAACATGATACTGGTATATCATGAACATGCATGAAATATTTGCCACTGGACGTTTAGTAACTTTTAATCATCAGTTGTTTTATTATGTTAATTCCTAATAAAAAAAAGAGACTAGCAACACATAGAGTTGCCTTCATTTTGACTATTACAAGTAACAAAAATAGTTTTGTGAACACTTAAATGCCAATTTTAAACTGGTTGTAAATTGATTGGCCCCTAATTATCTTTTGTTTTTATAACACTCATGACACTTAATCTGTTATATTTTATTCAACCTATGCCAACATTTTTTCATACAATTTTATGACTAAATTTCAAAATGTTGGCATAGGTTGAATGAACCAATCAAATATCTACGAAAATGTTATTTTTCCTCACTCAACCAAAATGACTGAATCCATAGCAGATTGATATAGAATAGGAAGGGTTTGTTGTCAACAAATTTTCACAATAGAAAAATGAAATACTCTGATACTGTGGATTCACTATTATACCAGGAATTCAAATGTTCAACAAAGTCCAAATTTCTCATAGGCTTGTATGCAAACTTTGGTAAAACATGTAAAATACCGAAATACAGTATCCATGAAAATACATTTTTCTTCAATCCACAAAAATTGGTACCCATGAAAAATAAAGGAATTCACAGTAAGTCATATGGACTGTATGTTCTTCATGTCTGAATATGTATGAAATACTTGTCACTGGACATTAATCAAACAGCACTAAATCAATTCAATTTAATGAAACTATATTATAGTCAAGGAGATTCAGTTAAAATCACTCTTGCTATTTCCATGGATGACTGTCTTTACTTTAGAATTAATACCAACATTACAAATGGTGGTTCATTTAGAAATAGTCTGCCTTCCTTTGGGAAATTACCCTTAAATAAAATAACCCTTAAATACAGTTAGTTGTATGTGTACCATGTATATAATTTATCACTGTAAGAGTTATATTTTGAATCAAGTTTAAAATATAAATACTGTTAACATCCATCATAATCAGTCAAGGGTATAACTCTATTGGGTTATTAGAGAAAAATAACATACATTTGTTATTGTACGTGGACTAAGAAATCTAAAAACTGTGATGACATATGTATGTTACATGTTTCATATGGGGCAATATACATCCTTTGTTTTGTTAAAATGTACACAAGGCCATACTTTGACCTATAATGGTTTACTTTTACAAGAGTTGTCTCATTGGCACTCCTACCACATCTTCTTATATCTAAGTTCTATTGATATTATTAATGTCATTATGTATACTAAACTATAGAAAAATATAACAGTTCATAGTTTGCCAGTCATGCGTAGTTCACCTTTGTTATTACAGAAACAAGAATGTGTCCATAGTACACGGATGCTCCACTCGCACTATCAATTTCTATGTTCAGTGGACCGTGAAATTGGGGTCAAAAGTATAATTTGGCATTATTTGATCATATCAATTTCATAGGGAACGTGTACTAAGTTTCAAGTTGATTGGACTTCAACTTCATCAAAAACTACCTTGACCAAAAACTTTAACCTGAAGCGGGACAGACGGATGGACCCACAGACTGAAAAACATAATGCCCCTAGGTGAGGCATAAAAATATGCCTGTAATAACTAAAGGATGTTATTACAGCTTCTCTACATCACTTCAAAGCCTTTGCTCAGACATACATCATGCTTAAACACAAAGTATTTTAATCTATTGTAAGAAATAATGATCAGAGCATGTAATTATGAGGTTCTGCGCAAGCTTCCAAGTAATGCCAAAGTGTCTCATATAATAAGTTACATGCCTTTAATAGCTAAGCCTTGTCATTACAGCTAAGTTTATCCCTTAAAAGCCTTGTTTCATTGATTTACCATTGTTGATGAAAAATGTATTAATTTAATAGGAAAATTAGTTATCAAGGCTATGTATTAAGTTTCTGCACAAAGAATTCCCAAGTGCCCACTAAAAATTAAAATATTTATGATTTATTTCACAAATAACAAACATATGTTAATACAGATTAAGAAAATTTAAGGAACAAAGAGTAGACAACTCATGAAAGTATCTGTAATAACACAATATGATATTTTCTCTAATAACCCTATAGAGTTATACCCCTTGACTGATAATAGAAATCATATTAACTTTTTTCTTTGTTCATACTAAGCAAATAATCATTGTGCAGTATTTTTTTCCCTTGTTAAAGTGCTACACGCTATGTGTACATGGTGTATAAACAGACGAATAATTCTTGCATTGTTTGTGTCTACATTTTGTTATTTGTGACAAATTTTCTAACATGTTGGAGGGTACTGTGTTTTAATGATGTTTTGTGTCCAACACACATACAATTTCCTTTACCTGTTTACATTAACAAACAAATGTAACCTCTGTGGGCATAAACATACCTGCTATCTCTTTCAATTGGTCTCGTGGGAGAAATCAATACTTTTTTCTTTGTTGGTGGACTCCTGGATTTAGGAGCTCGAGCTTGTACGGGTGTAGTAGACTTCTTTCTCCCTCTTTTTCCTTTAGTTTTCACAGGGACAGTTTTTGCTTCCATGGCAAAATATTCATCTTCAGAATCTTCTGCATAATTGAAAACTTTTGATTCCCGTCCTTTTTTCTTTATTTCAAAAATATCTGGCTTCTCGTCTACTGGTTCCTCGAATTCCTCTTCTTCACTCATAACTAAGGTGGATGACTCTCTCGGTGCATTCTGTGGAATTAGTGGTGACATGCTGTGCTCAGAGTATTTTGCGTCCGGTGATGACAAATCATGATCAAATGATCTATGGTCAGGTGACATGGAATTATGTGATGAGTCATGGGATTTGATTTCTAATTTTTCTGAGTCTTTTGAATGTTTACTTAAATATGAATTAATATCACTTTGTCTTTTTAGCTTTGATGGGGATTTCGGTGATTTCGGTGATTTCGGAGATTTCTTGTGATCTGATTCTGGAGAACTGAGTATTTTGCCATCTCGTACTTCAGAGGTTGAATCTGCCTCTGCGAATCTGGCTGGTACTTTCTCAAACTACAAAGAATAAGTTTAAATCCTAATTTAAAAAGAGAGAATCTGATATTTCCTTCTATAAATCATTTCAGACATGTTAGGTGGATAGAAATTCATTTCTCTTTTTGAAATAGCGCTTTTCAATTAGGACATGACAGAGTTGAGTACAAATTCATATATCCGTTTATTTGGCAATCGCCAATGGCAGTCAGCAGGATTTAAGAACATTTGTTGTTCGACCTGTTAGTCAAATGCGTTTTGTTAAAATATACTTTTTCACTTTTTTGGTCTTTGGAAAATGTTGTTTGTGCTGTATTTAGACCCCTCTAACAAGAAATTTGTTTTGCATGCACACGTGTAAAAATTGCGGTTTTTATCCAACGCAATCATAGGTTTGAACGTTGTTTTCAATTTAGACTTGTATATATGTACATCTATATCCCATTGCATCTGTAAACAATGAAATTACTATTTGCAGCATGATTTTATTATCAATCAAATTTTTGTTCCGTCAAGATTTCAGTTATTCATCTTTTAACTATTTTAATAGCTTTTTATACATGTACATGTATATTCTTAATGATATTTTTGCAAATAACATGTGTGAAATATCAAGTTTTAATATCCTCATACAGAAGTATGTCACTGGATTTTTTATTTTCAGTGGTACCAATTTTCATTGATTGAGGAATGAATACATGATTTTTTAAAATATCTATTTTGACAGAGACTATACAGGGAAATGTTTTGGACTTAACAGTGCTTAACCTATAATGTCTGGACATTAATAGTGCATAACACAAAATGTTCAACAGTAGTTGTCGTTTGTTGATGTGGTTCATAAGTGTTTCTCGTTTCTTGTTTTTTATATAGATTAGACCATTGGTTTTCCTGTTTGAATGGTTTTACACTAGTAATTTTTGGGGCCCTTTATAGCTTGCTGTTCGGATTGAGCCAAGGCTCCGTGTTGAAGACCGTACTTTGACCTATAATGGTTTACTTTTATAAATTGTGACTTGGATGGAGAGTTGTCTCATTGGCACTCATACCACATCTTCTTATATCTATAAACATGTTTTAGGGGAGGCATGAACATTTACAAATGTAGCGAAGGTAGCTTTATAGGCAGTCAGGAAACACAACTACATTTTTTTTGGCTATATCAGTATTGCTGCAGATCAGAGAAAGAATACATAAATGTTGACCTTTGTAAAATCAATCAAATTATTATCTACTGACCTTTAACATGTTTTAACACAATTTTATAGAAAAAAAAGTTTTTAATCATATCAAGGTGTGAGACTCTCCTAATAATAATATGTTATGACATCAGGGTTTCAAAAACCATCATTAATCTGTTAATTAATTTTCAAGTCTGACACTTATAATTCCAATTATATAATATGAATAAGAAAAATAATAAAAGGTGTAAACAATCTTTTGGCTAGCCTGTAAATTCATTTATTTTTGTGGGTACCAATTTTCTTAGATGAAGGAAACATTGTATTTTCATGGATATACTAGATTATGTGGTTGGGGTAAAGTCTGCATACAAGCCGATAGATAATTTGTACTTTGTTGGATATTCAAATTCACAGTTAACCTCTACCCACGAAAATTGGTATTTAACGAATAATAATGAATTCACAGTAACAGAAACACTTTTTCTTGTTAAATAAAAGAAGAATGTGTCCGAGGACACAAATACCCCCACTCAAGCTTGCTTTTCAAATAAAAATGGGACGGACAGAAAGACGGAAGGACAGATGGTCAAGGGTAACACTTAATGCCCCCTTCGCCTTGAAGTGGCGGCATAAAAATGTGTCAAAGACAATAATGACCTAGATGCACAAATTGTTTCTTAAACAATAGTGAATTTTCTCATTGCTAGAAGTTGGCAACTATACTTATAAGAGGGTTGAGTTATACTTGAGTATGTACACACATTGTTCTCTCAACTCCTCAAAGAAATTGACAGCTCTTTGTTTCATTCTTTTGTCATGTTTTTATTTTTAGGAATCATTCTTTTCTTTTAGCAAATACATTGTATGTTTTTCTTTTTTGTCAATTTTATCATTTGTTCTTCCTATTTGCCCACCCCCCTTTTAACCCTTTAATATTGCTGCCTTCTCTAGAATTATCATAAGTGTCCCATACATTTTTAATGCTGCTATTTTTTCAAAATGTTCTCGGTACCATAAATTTTAATTTTAACTATGCTTCATAATAATTGTTAATGAAAAACTTACCACAAACTCAAATTCTGAGTTTGGTTGATTTGCTCTCTGACCTGGTTCTAACTTAAAACCATTGGTGTGCCCAAACGTTATTTTATCTCCTTCTTGTAACAGAATAAACTGGTTCATCTGAAATAAAATTATAAATTTGGAGAGTTCAGAGAAAATTGTTGTTTCAATTTGGAAGTTGAAAAAGTCATATCACAATGTATCACTTAACATGTGACATTCTTCTAGTATCGGACTAGTAATGACTTGTATTTCACACATGTGAATAAAGTGAATTGAATTATTTTAATAAGTTTTGTCTTAAATAAAAGAAGAATGTGTCTGAGGACACGTATGCTCCTCCTCAAGCTTTGAAAATGAGACGAACGGAAGGACTGAAAACGGAAAGACAGAAAGAATGACGGTCAAGGGTTAATCTTAATACTCCCGTTGCCTACGATAGGGGCATAAAAACTTGACCACACTCTTCTATTTTGCCCTCCCCTTAATTTTGATGAAAACCCACCTTAAGATGACAACACCCATAATTTGATGTTTTCAGGGACTATTTACCACCCAACCTTGAACATAGGATTGGTCAGGAGTCAGGAAACAGACAAATTTTTTTCAGCTCTAAGAGATAGTGAACATAAGAGATAGTTACCTTAATATCATTGATAAATGTACCATTAAGTCCTTTGTTGTGAAGTACAAACACATACTGCCCATCTTCACTTTTCTTGGCATGGATTTCAGCATGAGAACGAGAAATGAAGTTCTTCAGTTTTGCAGAATCTAAATAATAATCATTATCTGTGCTGCGACCAAATCGTGTGATCCCCATCTTTAACCTGTAGATGGAATTTAAAAACAAAAGTAATTCTGGATAAGTGCAATAAAAGAGAAGTGAATGATACCAAAGGGATATTCAAACTCACAAATCAAAACAAACTGACAATGTCATGGCAAAAAACGACACAAGGAAAAGACAAACATCAGTACACAAAACACAACATAGAAAACTAAAAAATGACCAACACGAACCCAACCAAAAACAAGGGGTGATCTCAAGTGGCCCTGAAGGGTAACCACTAGTAGCACCAGTCGTTTTGCTCATTTAAGTACAAACACAGTGATAAGTCTGATTGACTCAGATAAGCTGAGATCACCTCAAACATTATAAAATTAGGAGATGTATGATTGTTAATAAGAAAACTATCCTAATAGATTAAAGCAACTATAGGTCACCAACAATAGGCAAAATCAATTTTTAAATCTTTAACAAATGTGAAATTTAGGAAATAAAAAAATACATAAACCATTGTAAACTGATAAAATGTCTATATATATATCCATGAACATCATTAATTGTACATGTACATGAAGTTTATACATGTTCAAACTGTGTGTACTTTGTCATTTTTATAAATATACTTTATCTGGTTTTCTTTTCTTCTAAAATAATGTCTTATATATTGTAATGCACAAATGTACATCATGTACTATGATCCTTGTATGCCTCTTAGATGGAAATAAATATCTTCTTAAAAACAATGTAAAAAGTTTAATGAGTTCTTTCATGTTCAGTCACTTATTTATTCCAGGGAGTTTTTTGCGGGTTAAAAATACCCTGTATAAATGATGTATGTCCATATTCTGTATTCTTACACAATTATGCATCATAACCAAAGCTGAATCAGTATCGATTTCAGATTTGGGATGGTCATGGCATCTTAGACGCTGCTTTACTGGGGAAACAATTAGTGATATTTCAGAGAAATGAAAACCTGAACACGATGAAATAATTTTATGTCCATAATCATTTGATAATGGCAGTTTAGAAATTTTTTCAGCAATTATCAAATTCAAACAAGTAGTTTTCTCTTCCGGACAAGTAAAATATCATGGTCACTTGCAAAATTTAGAAAATTCTAATGGAACTTATAACTATATGATAACAAGAAATGCAAAAAGATAAAAGAAACATCACTGGTAGTGCATGTAATATTTATGAAAATTCAAGGATTTATGAGAAAAAAATAGGAGAAAGTTTGACCAAAAATACAGAAAGGTCCTCCTTTTTTCTTTGAACTTGAAGGTCCAATTTTAATTGAAAATTCAATTTGTAAAAACAGAAAATGCTAACCGTTCCAAAGCACTCATCATATCTTACTAAATCAACCTCATATTTTTTCTTAATTTCTCCAATAAATTCAGTCAAAAAAAAGGCTTCCCCTTTTTCCCAACACTATACACTGTTTTTAATTGTTCTCGTTTCATTTGCTGCTTAAGAACACACTAGCTTAACATTGTGTCAGATAACAGCTCGACTTTGTTGTAAACTTGGGGTCAGTTTCTTTTAACCACTGTTTTTGGCAAGATAGATGCTGGGAGGTAGTTTCATGATTTTTTAAGGGGCAAGTTTACAGTTTTTATCCAACAAACCAGGGCACTTTTCCATTAACTGTGTGTGGAATAAACTAGTTGCCTCATTAAAATTCAAGCCAAACAATTAACCCTCCATTTGGGCAAAAATTATGTTCTCAATTTTCCCTGTCATATTTTTGGTCTTTAGTCAGATCCTTGTCTTTCCAGCTGTGTTTCATCAATCACCCCTGCTGTATCACCCATTTCATCAGGTTTTCTTTTGGAAGAGGTCGCCACAAAACCATAAAAACTCATACTGTTTAATAGTTTTGTTTGAATAATATATTCTCGATATTCCCGATATTTTGTACAACGACTGGTCATGTGACTGCACATCAAATCAAATGTGACGAATTTAATCAAACACATAAGTTTCCTTTTTGTAAAGTTACATACAGTCATGATAGTCGTCTCTCATTATCTCGAAGTCAGTCGGACCAGAAATATTTCGAGATACCAGTAGTTTGACTCAAACCACAACCAAGCTCATTAATGTATGATTACTGTTAATTGATATACAGTCGAACCTCGTTGTGTCGAACTCGGTTGTGTCGAAAACTCGAATGAGTCGAAGTAATTTCTCGGTCCCAGTAAAATTCCCGTTTGATCAATGCATAATTACCTCTGATGAGTCGAACTCGGTTGATTCGAATACTCAGTTAAGTCGAGTAAATTTTATAGTCCCGTCGATGTAAAATTCATGTAAATTGACCCTGATGACTTGAAGTTCGAAAGTAAGAATTTTCAAAAGATGCAGACCTAATGATAAGAATTCAAATCGGATGTATTTCTTATGTAACCTACCAATAATCATTTTCAAAAGAGATTAAAGCTGAGTAAACATACTTGTTTGTATAACAGTTAAAATGACATGTTTATGGTGACCGGTAATTAACACCTTTGTTTGATCGTTCAAGCGGAATGTTAGTGTGTTGAACATTTTTCACATCAGATAAAAACAAAATGAATTTAAATGACCCAAGCTGAGATTAAATGAATCGTTAATTGCAATAAATAAAAGGATTAGAACAATTATGATAAATTCATGATAATTTAATGTAAAGCAGACGACCTCTGGCTCATCAGAGACCTTCATAACTTATTCGTTCCGCGAGTGATTTCATGATTTATAGTGACTGACCTTTGTAAATATTTGTGTAGACTATTGATTTTATTTGTGCATGATTTGTATCTGTACTTGTGTGTTTAATTATTATGAAGGACCAAAAATGGAGATTGAATACACAATCACAAAGTGTTATATCGAAAAAAGGCACACTGTTCATTGTATCTAGTTTACACAAATCATACCGTATTTCATGCATTCCAAATTTATGACGAAACACTCGACCTCGAATGAGTCGAACCTCGGATGTGTCGAATACTTTGGTCCAGTCCCTTCGACTTCGACACAACGAGGTTCGACTGTATATATTATATTTTTTATAATTTTTCGTAATCTATAACAATGTATTACTAAAAAATTTTTATTTATTATGTAATCAACCAAAATATTAGGTAAACACTCTGGGAAAAGCATGTCATAAATCAAAACAGATGTCAATGTCTGGAACTTTAATGACAGGTGTGTTGTCAGATAAACTGGTCATCCATTTAAATACCTGAGGTCATGTTTTGACATGTGTGTATAACTTCGACACAACAAATGCAATTTATATGCTTTTTTTAACCTTGTGACTAACTTCGGTTCGACACAACCAATATTTCAACTCATCAGGAGTCGAAAATACATATATTTGTATGGAACAAAGTTTGGGAACACTGGAAAATTTCAACTCATCCAAAATTTCCAGTCAACTGAGTTCGAGACAAGGATTGTTAACATGGTTAACTGTAATTTAAGATTATTTTTATACTAGATTTTTTGTTAAAAATGCTTTTGTAATTTTTTTAACCTGGCGAGAAGGTCACGGTGCTTTGACCACTGCTAATTTGAACCCCTGATGATGATCAAAAGACCTTATGACTACTTTGAAATCTGCAACACTCGACCATTGATTCTACGACACTTGAACTGTTGACTTCATCCAACTTTCACTTTTGGATTGTTGTGTCAGACTTTTTCTTTTATGACAGGAAATTTTTTCGGGTACCTCTGTGATTGCCAGTGAATTATGGCGGACACATAGCAATAGATTAGTGGTGGACAAACTTGAAGTTGGTGTATGATTTTGCCACTTATTTGTGGCCAATAAGCAAGTCATATTCATGACAAATTTAAGGAATTTAGGACATAAAACATAACACTTAAGTCAGCACATTTTTCTGTACTGTACATCTGTACATCTGACTGAAACTCACTTCATTACATCTTTGATATTGGGATATGACGCAGCAGCCCCTGTCCTTCTCAGCTGATAAACATAGTCTTCATCCGAACCCATTTGTAGTTGAAAATGAGCTTTCCTTTACCAGATGAAGGTTAAGATCGATACACATTTGGCATTTGCGTTAGCACTGATGTCCTCACGCGCCAAAACAATAAGCGCTACATGATTTATATTTTGTTCATAATCATTTCATATTCATTTCCAAAGACAGAATGTGTTCCCGCAATGTTTCGGACTTCAAAATTACCACTATGACAGGTAAAACGTGAGAAAATTCTTATCAAAACTTATCAAATTTCGATAAAAATTACACCATCATAATAATGTTTTGCTGTGATCTAATTTTAGGGCGATTCTAAAAACCAAATCTTGGCTAAATTCCGGATTAATTTCCGTATTTCCTTTTTATCATTCTCTTACAGTTTGAGCAGCCTGAACTTTATCGAATACAATTTTCGCTCGTTGCATTATAACTGAAAATCGAAAAAAAAATCAAAAAAAAATCACGCATTTTAAAGATGTACACCTCTGAGGAGCCAAAAATTTCTAGAATTAAACTTTTTTCTTAACCTGATTTTTGGGTTTAAAAGACTGTAAAAAAATAATTGGTGAAGAAAAAAATCATATGGTGGTGCACTTCCTTTTTTGCTACAGCCATTTGAAAGTACCCAATTTTGATGATTTTCCCATTTTTCATCAATTTTCACCTATTTTTGGCCTATTATCATGAAAAAAAAATCACAGTTTCACAATTAAACTTTTTTTCATACTTTCACAAAAGATGAAGTGGTCCAATATGAATAAATTTAACTTAAAAAAAAACTATGGGTAGGTGTTAATATAAGAAAGTTTTATAAAATTTTGTTGCTTTTTCATGTCAAATTTTGTAATTATTGGATTTTTCTCATTTTTTAGAACAAAAATCATATCATTTCAACTTCTTTGTTATAAATGATTGAAAAAATACATATATCTAAGACGTTTAAAAAGAAAAAAATTGATATGGGATGTACATGTATCTGGTAAAATCATTTCTTGTACCCCTCACCCATTTTCTCAACATTTTGGCTAATGAGACTGACTTGATTGGTAATAAAATTTGAAAATTACTCAAAAACGACTTATTGTAAATACACAATTTTTTCACAAAGTTAAGTTTGATTATAATATTTTTTAAATTCATTGATATTTTCCACTTGTATCACATGTTTTGGAAATAATTCCAGAACGAGATTTCAACGAGACTGAAACGTCAGATCTGAAGAATACATCCTTAAATAATATCTCTTTTATTTTTCTGAAATATTACTAAATGAATTCCTTCTGTTCACGCCAAAATAGGTAAATATTTATATAGAAAATATCCAGAATCTGCGAAAAAAAAGTTTTTTTAAAATTTGTTTTACAATCGTCTAATATCTAATTATGAAATGCGAATACTTTTCTTAAACATTAAGACGTAGCGTTGATGCAGTAAATTTTCGTTTGGTTGATATAACTTGAATAATCATAGGGTAACCGACTTTTGCAGTCTGATTAAAATCATACCTCTCACTTGCTATCGTTTATTTATATGTACCACACGACATATCAGAAAACGGGAGCGCTGAGAGGTTTGATTTTAATCAGACTGCATTTTTTGGGTGTATTAACCAATCTGTTACCTATAGTTCGTCAGTGATCAAACGTTAAAAATCGACGTTTTATGGTATTTTTTTTCACCTTGAACACCACATTAAATGATGTGTACGCAAAAAATAAGTCGGAAATCCTATAATCATTTTACATAATCAAAATGGAAATTTATGTATCAACAATCAACGAAAAAATCTGTGCATTTCAAAAGTGACAATAAAAATTTTCTTTAGTCTAATAGTCTACTCTAGGAGTAAGAATATCTGTTATTCAATAATATTTTTTGGCCCAAATACATAATTACCGTCCCTCCCTCTTTGTCAGAAGATGGTCTTTCAATGGTGTAATCATATCCCCTGTTATATTTTTCCGCACTATTCAGGGAGAATTCATTTATTTGTCCATTCCCCGTATAAAACATAACCGAATGCTGCTCGTCGCAGATTTGTTATTTCTTTCATGACTGACCCGTTAACCCGATGAGTACCACTTGTGGAAACGGCTTACCGTTCCGGAGTACCTGACTCGGGTCATCCCGATTTTGGAGGTATTCGTGTTGCTTAATCTTTAAATTTTTTTGTAGCGTTATGTGTAAAGTATAGTTCTTTTTGTTTCGCCATGATGTTGTCTTGTCTGTCCTTCTAAGACGTGTTTTTATTGTCGCCTGGTAAATATATATTTTATTGTCGCCTGGTAAATGTATATTTTATTGTTGCCTGGTAAATGTATATTTATTGTTGCCTGGTAAATATTCATTTATTGTCGCCTTGTAACTGTATATTTTATTGTCGCCCGTCTGGTAAATGTATATTTTATTGTCGCCTGGTAAATGTTTATAGTTATTTTTTTGTAGCCGGCACTTTTATTTTGTTATTTCACCATGATCCGTGTAAAATGGTTGGTTCATGTCTGTCATGTTTGTTTTTCGTTAATTGTCTTGTTATTAATTAGGCTGTTAGTTTTCTCAGTTGAATAGTTTCATATTTTTCATGTCGGGGCCTTTTATAGCCGACTACACGGTATGGGTTTTCTCATTGTTGAAGGCCTATATTCATTGTTTTTACATCCACTTTATTTGAACTTTGGTGGATAGTTGTCTCATTGGCAATCATACCTCATCTCCTTATTTGTATAGTCATTTCCACGTTCAATTTATTATAATGTTGGTTCATTTCGAATTTCTTTAAACTCATAGTGAAAATCTGATAAATTCAAGTTGATCGTTACTTGATCGTTACTTCATCTATTTGAATGATCATACAAATGGCATTTTTTAACTTTTACCAATCATTTGTCTCCAAATCGTAACAATGTAATATATTTATTATAATACTGCACAAAGTGAGGCAAGTGTGCATGACCGTTGGTATATCGAGTGATCTAGGGCGCTGGTCAGTGCCCAGGAGTGATGACACGTTGTCACAAAGGCATTGGTTTCAAATCCCGTTGAGGGAAGACTAAATTTGCAAATTTATTATTGTTGTGTTCGACTCAGGCGAAGTATAATATGTCATTTGTGATATAAGCCCTGTATTACCGTGGGTTATCCAATGTAGAAATCGACGTGAGTCGTAACATTGTAACATAATATTTAAACATAAAGTTATATAAGGAAGTTCTAAAATATAATTGTGTAAACCATAAGTTATTTATAAAGGGATTTGCCTTTTCTATTAATGTATAGGATTACATATTTTAGGATTAAATTTCATGTGCCCATATAACTTGTTTTAATAAGATACAAGAAATCTGTTTGACATTCGGCTATAAAATCTTGAACATGTTTGAAAATTTTCAAACAAGTTAATTAATAATTATGTATCTCACATCATTTTCGGTACCAATTGAGATTATTGAATAATGGTTTTCTACGGATAGTATATTTCAGACAAACAAAAATAGAAATCATGGATAAACATCCTCAATGTTTGTCCCACACTGACATGGAAGGTCCGTCATAATGTTAGCTATGAATAGCAGGGGCGGATCCAGGATTTTAGGTTAGGGGTGGGGGCGCAAACTTCAATTTTTTTGAGGTAAAATTATCGAAATATTCTTTATCAATCTGATGACAACCCATGCTTTGCAAATATTAGGGGGGGGCGCACGCCCGCCACGCCCCACTTGAATCCGCCCCTGGAAAGAAAAGCTTAACAGAATGACGATAGAGCGTAACAATTGTACTGTATAGGTCCCAAACATAAACTTGTACATGTTTCTTATTAATTAAATATTGCATTTGTAAACACGTTCGAATTTTTGGATCACTTGCATTCCATTCTCGAATTGTGGAAGTGATAAAAAGATGGTGTAGTTATATCAATACAAAATAAGGCAATAATTAATATCTTGGCCATATTCGAAAGGGATAGTCAGGGAGGGACAATATTGCATTGGTATTCAGGTGCATGTTTTATTTTATATTGGATAAAACATCTATATTTTCTTCTCCTTCTTCTTTCATGAATAAAAAGTTTCCATTTTAGTGAAAATTAGTAGACCTGTTACAATTCAGACATATTCGTAATCGAAATCCGTCAGATATTCTGCAGCCAAACCATGGAATACGTTGCAAAACCATTTTAGAACTAAATCAATTTAAAAGTCTAAAAACTCATGGAATGTCAACTCATACCATTGTAATGCATGTGAATAATATTATTTTTTATGTTTTATATTAAAGCTTTGAAACATGGTAGTGCGGGTTATTATGCTTTCACTCTTATTTGTGTTTTCTTATGATTTGCTTAGTGTTTTTATAATTGTGCTTTCTTTGCTTTAGTGAGTGTCGTATGTTGTATGTTGCTGCTTTAATGCTTTTCTATAGCGCTACTTAAAGCTTTTAGATTAGTGATCATCCATGCATTCATATAATGTGTATTATGGGGTTGATCTTATTTAAAACTTAGATCGGATTATATTTCTATAACTATTTATGACAATTATGTTTTATGTCCCCTATGCTTTAATATCAGTACTGTGAATATACGTATATTGTGTATATGTTTGTATTTGTCGGTAATCAAAGCTCACAGAGATTATGTTATTGTTTTGTGACATGTCGACTGCGAATGAAGCTTTTGATCTGATTTTGATTTGACCACATCTGAGTTCTCCTTAATTTTATGACTTCCTTACTTATACGTAAGAATGTCAGGTGTTGTCGTTTTTTTAAAGGAATATCAGGTTTTTTATTCGAAGAAACTGGATACCAATTCCTTGTTTCCAGAGCATTTTGATATTTTTAATGTAATTGTTTTCTCTTTTGTTTAGGGAACAGTCATTATTTATCAGCTGGGGGGTTTGGAAAATTTTCACCAAAAATATGATGATAAAATTACCCCCCCCCCCCCCCCCCCCCGCCGAGGTTTGTAAAATCCTAAAAATCAACCCCCAAAGGAATCCATTTTAAAATTTTGACGCCCCCCCCCCCCCCCATTCCTTAACGTAGGAAAACATCTATACAAATGACATTTATTTTACATTTAAAATAACATTTGTACATGTAATACAATATAAAAGCAAAACATGCATTGTTTGTCAATTTCAAAAACATTTTCAAAGTAACCTTTAATCAGTCCTCACCACTCTAGACTACTACATCATTCTCTCTTTCACAGTTTTCACTCTCCATTTGCTCTACACTGGCTCCCTAATCAATACTCTATATAAAAATGAGGAGATGTGGTATGATTGCCAATGAGACAACTAGAAGTTGATATAAGCAATTATCTGCAACGGTACGGCCTTCAACAATGAAAAAAATCCATACCGTAAGGTTAGCTACAAAAGGCCCTGACATGAAAAATATGAAAGAGTAAGGCGAAAGATACCAAAAGGACTTTCAAACTCATAAGTCGAAAATAAACTGACAACGCCATGGCAAAAAAAAAAAAGAAAAGAAAAATTAAGACCAACAGTCAAACAAGAGTACATAAAACCAGAGACACATAATACAATTTTATATGTCTCTGATAAAACTGATAAAACATAACATAGAAAACTAAAGACTGAGCAACATGAACCAATTCAATCGAAAAAACTAAATGCCTACTTTATTACAAAACAGTTTACGAAAAACACTTTCATGCTGTTTCATATAATTCCCAATAACATCATTCTTCCACAGGATTATCCAAGTTTTCCAAAATCATGAAATCAAACATTTTAATATGTATGATCTGAGACTATTATACTAACAAGAGGGACGAAAGATACCAGAGGAACAGTCAAACTCATAGATCGAAAACAAACTGACAACGCCATGGCCTAAAAAAAAAAGACAAACAGACAAATAATAGTACAGATGACACAACATAGAAAACTAAATACTAGGCTACACGAACCCCACCAAAAACTGGGGGTGATCTCAGGTGCTCCGGAAGGGTAAGCAGATCCTGCTCCACATGTGGCACCCGTCGGGTTGCTTATGTTATTACAAATCCGGTAAATAGTCTAATTCGGTAGTTCACATACGTGAAAAGGGAAGGGTATTGTAGTTACGACATAAGGAACATATCCGATATCATCTGTGAAACGGTTATTCCATAACGGTCAACCAACTCGTGATGGCGTCCGTAAATTTACGAAGGGATGATTTCAACTTCACCATTTGGAACTCTTGGTTTAATAGCTTCCTTGTGAGCAGCAATCCTCTATCAAGGAAATCATGATAGGAAATACAAGCCCGGGAATATCGTATCAATATGGGAGATATATACTCCGTATGCAGGCGCTGCTGGAATGTTGCTACATAGAAATGGAAAGTTCACAATTGGGAAGCTGAAATCATCTCTTTTGTCGTAAAGTTTTGTTTTCAACCGACCCTCATTGTCAATTTCTAGATGTAAGTCAAGATATGAGGCCGACTTAACTGTATCTGTAGTATCCTTTATCCGTCTAGTTCGATGGGATAGATTCGTTCAACATAGTCACCAAATTTTGCATTATTTAGTGAGAGAACATCGTCTATATAGCGGAACGTAAAGTTAAAGGATATTGCTAACTTCTTATCTTTCTTCCTTAGAAGTTCCTGTATGAAGTCAGCCTCATAATAATAAAGAAACAAGTCGGCAAGAAGAGGGGCACAATTGGTTCCCATTGGAATTCCGACAGTCTGTTGAAATGTTTGACTATATTAACAATATATAGTATAATAGTCCCAGGTAAGATTCAAGATTCTTCTCGAAAAAAAACAAAATAAATACAACTTTTGCCATTTATTTTGTGATATTTAACCAACATCAATATTGTTAGTACTAAAGGGACACTTTCTTTGCCAAGTTCATACAATTCATTCATGAGGAGAAGACAAAAGGTCTTGATTTTCAATGGAAGGACACAGCTGTTTGTTCAAATTATTACACTTTGTAACCAGAATTTCCAATTTCCTTTTTTGATAACAGCTAGCCTACAGTTAAGGCTATTCTTTTTATTGTATTTATCTAGCAATCTTTATAATTGATGCAAAATTTTCTTCACTTTATCGATCCTTTCATATATTATCAAATATTTATGAAATCTCATGGCAAAAAAACTATTATCAACATCAAACAGACATGTAAATTTTCCTCTACCCACATCAAGTATTTGTATAGTCTTACCATGGAAGTATTATATTGTCAATATAGTACTTCCATGGTCTTACTATACAAATCCTTGACCACAGTTTTTTACATACACGAAGAGTGTAATATGATAGGCAAAGAGGTCAAGCTGTGATGGCCAGATATTAAGCCGTTTACATTGTCTACTAGCTCTATTGGTGATATGGAGGCATTTATTTTATAAGCAAAATTTAATCATCTCAACATTACACTATCACTGAAACAGAAAATGCGCTGCTTACATTTGCTGTAATCAATAATTCTGATCTGGGTTTTCACCCCCTCCCCCCAGTTTAAGTATGAAAAAAATTCAACTCCCCTAAAATTCCTCAACCCTCCCAGCTAGTAAATAATGACTGTTCCCTAATACATCATGTTATACGTAATTGTGATAACGTAAAATCTAACCGTTATTCTTTTAGTTTGAACTTAATCTTTCTTTTATCTTATTATTTTTTCGAAACTCCTCGGATTTTTTTATTGAAAGCAATGAAAAGGCCTTCTTATTAAAAAAATCCTGTAAAAATGACGTAAACAGAAACATTTCATTCATGATTTGTTCATTCAGAAAGTAAAAGCGAAAGCAGTTGTCAATATGTCTATCCAACATTGATATTATTTTACCTATTTTAATATCACGTATTTATTCAGGTAAGCCTATCTGGAAGAAATCATGTTGTCATGATTGTCAATGTCAGATTTCGGACATGACAGTTACTGTCAGTGTCACGGTGACACCTGTTTACACGATAAGGAAGTGGTTTGAGACTCATTTTCGCTCTGGCTCTGCTGAAAACCAAATCACTACTTCACTTACCACACTTTCGCTTTGTTATTTTACAATTGTCAGTGTGAGAGCATCCTAAAAACATGTTGATAATATAGCTTTATAGGATCAAATTGGTCTTGGATACCATAACCAAGGGTCGTAATTGGGGTACCTTCATGACGAATAACGGTAAAAATTCTTGCCAAATGACGTTAACAGTAATTTTTGGTGCATGATGATAAAATGCACACTTTCTTTTAGACGATAAAAAAATCAAAATCGACTGATTTTGCCGAATCACGTTAATTTTTTTTTCAAAAATAATGTTAACGATAATTATTTGAGACCTCTGACGAATCACGATAAGGATATTTTGATGAATCACGGTAAAAGTTTAACCAATTTGACGCTAACAGTAGCCAAAAATGTCCGTTTGACGCCTGACAGTAAAGGGCATTCCTCCCCTCATAACCTGACCTGTATCAGCTGCTCTGCAAACAGGGTTATTATTCAGTCTCATACACTTTAACCCTATTTGTCTGCCATTACAGCTATCACAGACTTTCCCGAAGAAATTTGATGTCATAAGAAAAGTGTCTGACGCAACAATGCAAAAGTGATTGTTATATGATGTCAATTGTTCAAAAATTTTGGGGCTAGTGTCTCAGATTGTGATATAACGATAAGGTCTATTACTTCCATATACCTTATCACTGTATGTCCACAATAACTGGATATCACAAAGGTTCCTGCAAAATACTGACGTTACAATTGTAATGTCTGACTCTCCAAAGGAAAAGTGATTGTTGCATGATGTCAATAGTTTTAAAAGTGTCGCATATTCTCAGGTCAAATGTTGCAGATTCCCAAATAGGGATAAGGTTTATTGTATCATATATTGTATGAGCTAAATGGTTCACAAGTTGATACATTTTAGTATTAAACGTCAGATTTCAAGAAAATGTGAGATTTCAGTGCCATCAACTTATTTGTTTAAAGGACATCATTCAATGATAAAATCATCAGTATGCATGGTATGAGTAATTGTAATATGATCTACATGTATCATTTCTCCAGTCACAAAACAACACATGAAAACAAAGGACAGGCAGAATCCAAAAAATGTGTTGTCCTACCGTAGCGGTGGAGGCATTAAGTTTAACCTTTGTCCGTCTGTACGTACGTACGTATGAACGTACGTCCTAAAATTGGTTTCTGTTCTCTAACTTGAGTTTGTCTCAACCAAATGTTATGAAACTTATACACAATGCTTATTACCACAAAACACAGATCAAGTTTGAATTTTGATGGCGTCACAATAACCTTTCAAGAGTTATGCCCCTTTATAAATGGTAAAATTGCAAAATTTTTATTTTCTTCTAAATATCAAGTAATTTTTAAAATTGGAGTTATATTCCTTTGTCCATGATTATAGTTGAATCAACTACAATCAATGCTTTATACAATGCAATGTTTAATTTTGACTTCCGCTGATAAAACGCAGATCAAGTTGAATTTGGGTAGTGTCACTTTAACCATTATTGAGTTATGCCCCTTTATAAATCAAAAGATTGCAAAATTTTTAGTTTCCATTCTGTAACTTAAGTTTGCCCCAACCAAACATTATGAAACCTATACACAATATTCATTACCACAAAACTAAGATCAAGTACAATTTTTTTTCTGTTTTCTAATTTTTAATTGCTTTCAAATCTGCCAAAAAATAAAGGATTTCGGTTCTATTTTCCATGTTTTACTGGCCTTCATCCCACTTCAAAGCAAGTAGACCTTCATGTAGATGCAGTCGAAATTATACTGGTTTTTAAATATCATGATACTGAAAACCATTGATTTAAAATGTCATATCTATTTTAAATGTGGAATTTTCGTATTACCATATTGGAAAAAATTATATTTATATTGGTCATTTTGGTGTGGAATTGGATATTATAAAATTCCACATGTTCAATGGACATGACCTAAATGATGGAATCCCTATTAGATTAATGCAACACTGATGACCCCTTTTATAATTTAGTCATGTTAGTACATGTTTTTAAGCTAAAACATTCAGTGACTTGTGTGCATCAATTATCATATATAAAAAAAATATTCAGTAGCCATGAAAGAAACACAACCAATTTCAACCTCAGACATATGCATGTATATTACATCTGTGTTATTACAGAATAAATATACCTGTTAAAGCTAAAGGGTGTTATTACAGCTGCTCTCACATCACTTCAAAGCCTTTGCTCAGACATAGATCTATCATGCTTAATCACAATGTACATGTAAATGTATTTCAATTTATTGTAATAAATAATAATCCGAGCATAAAATGAGGTACTGCGCAAGCTTCCAAGTAATTCCCAAGTGTCCCATTCTAAATTGTATGCCTGTAAAAACTTAGCCTTGTTATTACAGCAAAGTTTATCACTTAAAAAAGCCTTGTCTCATTGATTTAACATGGTTGATCAAAAATGATTTAATTTAATCGGAAAATGAGTTATCCATGTTATCTAGTCTATGTATTAAGTTTCTGCTCAAAGTTTCAAGAATTCCCAAGTTCCCAATAAAAGGTAAAATATTAAAGATTTGTTTGAACAAATAACAAACATATGTTACTATAGATTAAGAACATTTTAGGAATAAAGAGTAGACAACTCATGAAAGCATCTGTAATAATAAATGGATGTCATTTTCTATGAATAACTAATTTAAGTTATACCCTTGACTGTCTAGTATGGTCAGTGGTCACCTGAATTAGCACAAAATCGTCATTTTAATGTTTTTAATTATAAAAAAAAAGAAAGAAAAAGTACCTATATAATCATGACATGTATTATCAATGTCGAAATGAAAATCAGAACCTGTTTGCAAACAAGAATGCGCAGTAGGTGAATTAGTGAATTCCTCGTGTTCCTCACCTTTCCGTTTCCATTGAAAACCTTATCACCGACTTATTTCTCAACAAATGTAAACATATTTTGATTGTTTTCTTCAAATTTACAGCGCCGGCATCCACCATTTTTAATTCACTGCCGCAAGAAAGATATATTTACCGAGTGAGAACACTAAAACAATTTGCTCCATCCCGGCAGTGGGCAATGTAGAAATTGGAATAATTTGCAACTTCGTTTAAAAGGTCACCTCTCTTGAGCGGTCGCTTTTGATACTTCCCAATAGTGAATGTGTAATTCAGGTTTGACTGTGTTTAAATAGTAGTCAATGCACAGAGAAACCTGATTGTTAATCATTGTGTTAATAGCACAACTCACATTGTTTATTGTCATGATTGTCTTTTTTTTTTTAATAAAAACACTTCTTATATATGAGAGAACTGTCAATGCATCATTACATGTGTATAAAATTTAACTCTAGTTTTATTGTCTCGCCTGCAACAAAAGTTGCAGAAAGCTGGACATAGGGATTGTTTTTCCTGTGACAGTGATGGCGTCAACAATTGTTAAGTTTTCTGCTTAAATTAGTTTGATAGGATCTACTTGTGATAGATCAATAATATTTTGTATGAAGTCGCATTACTATCAGTTTGACGACTACTTTGATGCCCTGTCCCCTAGGTCATGGTCCAGTGACTTTGAATTAATTAATGTTAAGTTTTCTGATTAAGTTAGTTTGATAGGATCTACTTGTGATAGATCAATTATATTTTGTATAAAGTTGCATTACTATCAGTACTTATCAGTTCAATGACTATTTTGAGGCCCTGTCCCCTAGGACATGGTCCAGTGACTTTGAATAAATTAGCAATTTTCAATGTTAACTTTTCTACTTAAGTTAGATTGATAGAAACTACTTACAATAGACAACAATATTTTCTATGAAGTCACATTACTGTCTGTACATCTGCCCACTAATCATAGTTCAGCGACTGAATTAATAAGCTATGTTGCTGTCCATCAGATTGTCTTTTTCTAAATTAAATGCAGACAGACGAGACATATCTCTGTGTCAACAGTACAGTAGTTTATTTGAGTTTAGCATGTTGAAAACATTTTTAGTAATATTTAATGTAATTTTCAAAAGTTTAACATGTATAACTATACTCATTAACCCCAAGAACTGTTTTTGTCATATATGCATTTTGTGAATATAATTTTACTGATATCTTTAGGATGAGTGGAAAACGTGTCAACAACACGGCGACAGCCAGGCTAAAGCAGGATTTCATGCGAATTATGCGTGACCCAGTACCATATGTTAAAGCTGCTCCACTACCATCCAATATATTGGAATGGTAATATTGATTATATACATGTACCACATTTAAAAACACCATTGAAAGTTAAATTATTAGTTGTAACAGAACAACACATGTAATTGCACATTTTGTCAATCATTCACAGGGTAAAACCATAAGAGTTCCTAATGTCTTTACTTGAAAGGCAGATATTCTGACAACAACCTCAATTTCACTTGGCTTGATAGAAGATTTGTCCACCAGTTAATCATACAATGAAATATGTCACAACTCACAGAGGGGTTTGAAAAAAGCATCGTTTTCGGAAAATTATTGCATCAGATTTATAATTAATTCTTTTATAAAATCTATTCAGATATATGTCATGTATGTAGAAAGTGCTAAAAGGCCATGGGGGAAAACTACAGAACATTTTTTCAAGATTACTGTTGACTTAAGTTCCCTATTAAAGTACAATCTTATATGATATATGTTGATCTTTAATTAAATGATAAACTATCTATGGTATTTTTAAATGCAGAGTAATTCATAATTAATGATTAGTACATTACAAAAAGGCAACAAATGTGCTGGTCATACAAGAATCATCACAGTCCATTCAGAAGTGGAGAACTTTTTATTATTGAGTCTCATATCACCATGATCATTGCCACACATCTACAAACCTTTTATGACCAGTTCTCTGCATACTTTTATTATTTATACATTTATATATTTATCAATTTAGCTTTATGCACATCTACATTTTATACATATTTAGTATATCATACATATCATATGCAATGATATGTGGAAATTTATAATGTAAGTAAGAATTTGCACATACATGACATAAGAACTTCTCTAATATCTTGATTCTAAGTAAAAGTGTTGCTGCCATTTCTTACACTTGTTAGCCTGGTTAGTTTTGTCTTGCTTTCAAGAATTCATTTAATGTATATTCATGGTATAATATTGTATTTATAATTTGATATTTGTCAGTTTAAGGCCGTATTCGACTGCATATATACAGTATATAGTTCAAAGAAAAGAGTTAACACAATGACTTGATTTCAAGATAAGTAAAGAAATGAACTTGTAGTGCAACCTCCTTTTAAAACTGACTCAAAACGAATATAACATTTTCTGAATTTAAATTACAAATTATATTAGAAACACCATTGAAACAGATAAAAATGTCAGATCAATGTATGAAAATGTCCTTTTCTCTTAGGCTTTTAGTTTTATCTTATTATAAATATGATAGAGGGTAAAAACTGTTGAACTCACCATTGAAGAATACATTTTTGAATTACCTTCATTTGACCTATTTGTATAAATGTCAATGAAAACTGTCTTTATCTTTTTAGGCACTACATAGTTACGGGACCAGAAAAATCTCCATATGAAGGTAAGGTTATAAACTAATATTCTACTGGAGTGGTACTACACTTCTTTGTTGGTCTCTTGGTTGGTTACTTCCCTTGAGTGTGGAAGATCCTAGAGTCAAACCGAAGACTTGATAATTGGTATTTGCTATTTCTCTGCTAAGCACACAGCATTTATGATTAAGAGCAAAGACTGGTCAACTCAGAGTCAGAGTTATTGTGTCAGGGTAGGGCGACATGTATTTTTGCGGAATGTTAAAAATCAAACTCGGGCTATTGGTCTCATACAAATCATAGTTCATATTTACACAATTATGATATGTTATCCTCCTGAATATGCATTTAATTTGCCATTGAACGTTAAATGACTCGTACTTTATTAGTACAATATTTAAAAATACTATAAAAAAATCATGGAAAATATATTAAATTTATTGGGAAAGACTGTCAGTAATGGAGGTAGATTAGTGTATAATCAGTAGCCACAGCTACGAGTGAAAGATGCATTTGGATGATATTTCTGTGAATCTTACAAGCTGAGTTTCAGTAATAAAAAACTTTTCGTTAATTGAAGTTTTTTTAATGAGATTAACTCTTTACATTATATATTTTCTAGGTGGGATCTATCACGGAAAGTTGATATTTCCAAGAGAATTTCCTTTCAAGCCACCAAGTATATATATGATAACTCCAAATGGAAGGTTTAAATGTAATACAAGGTAAGATTAAAAAAGAAACAGAAGGTACATACAGAAAGAGACGGGGGGTAAAAAAGAAATTGTGAGAGGGGAACATTTTTTTCAGATTTAAGAAATTAAAAAGAAAATTTCTTCAAATTTTTTGTTGTTGCAAAAAAAGGGGGGGGGGGGGGGGGGGTCAATTCGCAACATCATAGTGTATTGCACAAAAGCAAAAAAAAAAGGGGGAGTAAAATTTTTTTTTGGGGGGGGGGTCAATTCACAACAGCATAGTGTATTGCACAAAAGCAAAAAATTGAATATAAATTCAAATCATATAACCAATTCTAAGTTCTTTGACTACAGTTATTCTGTGCCAGAAACCTATTATGTGTCAAATATTTAATTACAATCCAAATTCAGACCTTTATCAAGCGCGAATATTGTGTCCATTTTTTGCCCCAACTGTTCGGGGTTGGACCTCCAGCTGCGCTCTGCGAAGCAATTTATTTTTATATTATATTTCAATTTTATTTCAGATTATGTCTTTCAATAAGTGATTTTCACCCAGACACATGGAACCCAGCATGGTCTGTATCTACTATATTGACAGGATTGTTAAGTTTTATGGTAGGTACTTGTACATTGTACCTATATTGATATGCATATTTTAAAATTATTATGTCAAATGTATAAAAATTTTATTACTTATTTAGTTAACCATGGCATTGTTTCACATCATGTATTGGTATAAAAGAATTAAGTAATCTAAGGGGTACTTTCATTAATCATACACCAAAATGAAAATAATATCAGGTCATTGGTCAAACACCCATTGACTAGAAAGTTGTTAACCAAATACATCATTTTAGTGTATGTTTTTGATAATATTACCCAGAGTGCATTAGTTTTCTTAAATGAATTTTGAAAAATACACTGAATATAAATAGATGACTTAAAAGTTTTCATAGTACATGTGAAGAGTTTTGTCTATAATTTGCTAATTTGGAATCTGAACGAATTTGGGTAATTTCATTTTTCTTACCTTGATAAGAAAATAAAATCACTTCATTGATTGATTTTCAATGTGTAGGATGTTTTTAATCAATCACAACATTTTGATGGACTTTTTGAAAAATGATACCCAGAATGCATTAGATTTTGAAATGAACATTCATTTAAATGGGATAACCCTTACATTTAGCTGCATATTTTAATGAAAAATCTTGAAACACATACAAGATTGTTTGAAAAAAAAATAAGGCTTAAGTATTTTGTTGAAAATTTCATTTACATGGAAAAAAATAAAAGAAACATTATTTTGTTTCTTGAGGAGTTCAAAGATATTATTCTGCATTATTTGAAAAGAATTTCATCAATAAAAATATAATTTTACTTACAGTTAGAAAAGAGTGCCACATTAGGAAGCATAGAGACATCTGATTATACTGTAAGTATTTTGTAATATATGGGAAAATGCTGGCAACTATTTTCTTTCATTTCTAGATACATTATTTTCAACCAAATTGCTGGTTCAAGATGGCCTCTAGGTGTCACTCTAAATGGCACTACTTGTAGATAACTGCTTCTTTTAAATTATCTTTGTCGATCTTATACATGATATATATATATAGGAGCTTATCAATAATTTATATATAGAAAAACAATGAGAATTACATATTTGGCTTTCCCCTGTCTTGTCTAAATGAAAATGTGAAATACATTTTATGCTTTTTGAAAAACGAACATATCACTGATTAAAAAAAATATTGGTAGGTATTCACTACTTTATGCTGTTATTTTGAATCTTACTGAGGGAAACATGTAATGTCACAAATTGAACTTAATTATTCAATGACTTCATTGTGAGTGTGATTAATAAATTCAGACCATCCAGGTGCAAATATTACAAGCATAATCAGGACTGTAACAGGTTAATGTCATATGATAATAAAACTGACATTGTGATAGATGGATTTGTTAGCTTACAATGTAATAGTCTGTAGGAGGACATGTTGTCCTACCTAGCTATATTATTTAGACTCTCAGCTTACTAGTCTTATGTTCTAACTACCTAATTTTGCATGCTTGCCAAATCAGTGTCAAAAACCAGTTTTAAAGTCTTTCGTTTTACCCGACAGAGATCGAAACATCAACTTCGATAATCATTCTACCACAACTCCAACCAAAACAGTTATGTAAAATTATTGGGCCAGAAGGAGTAAACTCTTAGGGTTCATTGGAAAAAGTCTCTTAAGGTCAATTATTCTGTATAGCCTGTTGAATATGGTAAAACTGATGTTATTTTAGAAATTTTGGTTGTATGAAAGTTTTTATTGGTGTTTTTGTATATTCAGTTTATTTGTCATGTTTTGTTTTAGAAAAGACAATTGGCTGCACAAAGCGGACAGTTTAATTTAAAAGATAAAACATTTTGTGAACTATTCCCAGAGGAAGCTGAGGTAAGAAGGAGAAAGAATGCTTACATTTTTTTACCATGCATTTTATATAAATAAACATCTATTTTAAAACATAGATTCAATTGTATTTAAGAAAAATAAGAGATGAAATATAACTAAAATTACATCATTTAAATGTTCCGTTAAAGTTCAACATGCCAGAGGTGTATTCAAAACTGAATGAAATTTTGTAACATTACGCAGTAAACAAAAAACTTAGCATGTAACTTGATCATAATTAAATACAATAGCAAACAATTGTTGTTTCCCAAAGAATGTCAACAAATAATCTATTTCTGTTGATTACTGAATAAGAATCAGTAATAGAATTTTTGTAAGCATTTATTATTGCCATTTTGGAACACTGGACAAAAATGTGAGATTTAATAATTACGATTTCTGGAAATGCTTGATTCAAAAATGCTATCAAAACCATAATGCAAGTTTTTATTTTAATTTGGATTGGGTTTAAAGAATAGAGAGTATTAGAAAACACACAGAGAAAAATCTGCCAAAAAAAAAGAATAATTTGCTGCTATATTAATATTATTAAAAAGAGAATAATGGGCAAAAAAAAAATAAATATAGAAATGAAGATACCCCAATCCAGACCCTTACCTAATGATCAGTTTTACATTTAAGAAAATAAGAGAAGAGCAAGCAAGAAGGGAAAGAGAGTTGGCAGAATCAACTAGGAACGGCAACACACAATCTCAGTTACTGAACGGACAGAATACAAATGGAAATAATCAAGGGATTATAGGCAGTGCAATGGCTAATATCTTTGTTGTGATTGGACTAGCTGCTTTCGCTTATACTGTCAAATATGTTTTACGGAACATTGTCGAATAGGTTACGGAACATAGATATTTTAATATACTAATATAATATATAGCTGTGTTAAATTCTTGACTCTATATCTGTATATCATGGGATAATTTCTTGCCATTTTATGTGGCAATGAAGTCAAATATGGATATTTTCCAAACATTTTATGTGAGTTTTGGCAACTATATCACATACATGTAATAAATGAAGTTATTTAAAAAAAATTTTTTTTATTATTACTAGGATGGGTTTTGTAAGGGTTTTGATAGGGCTCTGTTTTGGAGAAAAGCAGATTAAGGATAAAATAGTTTACATGTTTTAGAAAAATATGAAAAGAAAAAATAAGAAAATTTGAGAAAAAGTACTTTATATTTACTTGCTTTCTTAATGTGATTCCTTAGTTGTGCAGATTTAATCTTTTATTTTATACAAATAACTATTAAAAAAAACTAAAAAAAGTTATAAAGCACAGATTAAAGAAAAATTAGTTTATGCTTTTGAAATATATAGGGATTGGATATAAGTATTTCTTTCTTGAACAAAATTGAATTCTGTGTCTATACATGTGTGTTTGCGGGTAATCATGACTTTAAAATTTGACTCAAATTTTTTATGTCTAAAATTATTTTTGAAAGAAGACAAACACAATCTTCTCTATGTCACTTAATGGCTGAGTATTGTTCTCCATCTACCTTCCTTTACTCCAAACTTCAAAGGTTGTGTCTGTGTACTTAACATATGAATACTATAAGTTAGAAATTTAATTTTATTTTAGGGAAGCAGTGAATAAAAGTCCATGATTTTGTCATTAGTTAATTGATATTATGGCAGTCAGAAATAAGTATTGAAATTATTATGTCAGATGATTGATCGTAATAAACCCAGAGGATGGTATTAATAGATCATGTTTTTGATTAAAATTTTGTATATTGAAAAAAATAGAGAGTTTGATGTACTTTGTCTAATGGAGGTAATTTTTCTTTTTTTTTTTCATTTGGTCATGTTTCTGTTGTTTAAAATTGGCTTAAAAAGACAGTCACATGTTATTGATGCAATTATAAATGAGAAAGAAGACAAAAATCTACTTTATTTTTTTACTTTTTAGTTGTATGTACAAATATATGACAAATAAATTAAATGGAATGTAATCGACTAAACAGCTTAAACATGTTAAATCATTTCAGATGATCGATTATGTTTTTTTTTTTTGTCTGATCGGTCAACCCTATCAGAAATATTTTATTTGTTTCCATAATGTAAATATGTTTATAAATGTATATATAGGGAATCATTGTGATTTATTGCTTTTATTTATAACACAGATGATTCTATTCTGTTTTTTAGAAAAAAAATTCTCCCTATTTTTGGTGAAAACCTTTAGCAAAATGATAGAAAATAGCCTTAAATAAACAAAAAGAACCTCTTGGCTCTGAAAAAAATTGGCTCTGGGGAATGAGAATCAAAGAAATTTGCTATTAGGGCCGAAATGAAATAAATTTTATTGTCTACATTAACATTGAAACTTTTCGAAAGCAAACTTGCTATAAGGTAGAAGATTTTGTGTTTTTGTTTAAGACAGGTTCCACATAGAACAGCCAATAAGATAGATTTTTAAAACCATCAAATCCCTAATTGATTTTAGAATTTTATTAAATCAGGGGGACATTGCATTCTCTATTTTGATGCAGGTGCTGAATATTTTCTCAAATTGCATCCTATGCACATGCTCAAGACATCTGGGTGATTGCTTTTTGATGGCTACAGTACAAAACGTTGTAGAAAAGTTAACAATGTTGAAGATTTTTAACTTAGTTATAGGGACCAGGCTTGTTTTTTCTATTTTAAGTAGCAAATTTTTTTGTTTATTTGTTTTGTTTTTACTGATTTGAAATTTAAGCATTAGTGTGAGTAATTAAAATTTTGATTATTAAGTTTGGGAAATTTATTTTGTTTTAAATTTAAATAAGGAGATAAATGTTATCATTGGAAGTATATAAGCTGTTGTAAATTTTTGAGCAACCTATAATTTCCCGTTCCCATTAAACCAAAAACATGACTCTAATGGGTATCGAAGCTCAGTTTTGGCAAATTTAGATTACATTGTACTATAGTGTTGCTTTAAAAAAAAATTCTGAAGATGTCCAAATAAAACGAGATTGCAATGGCAGGGTTTTTCAGGCAAGTCAAGGCAATCACCATTTTTGGCCAGATGAGTCCAAAGTTCTGGAGAAAAAAAGTATTATCAAGTGGACTCACCAGTTCAGAAAATAATGAGTCCAGTCTGATTTTCATGAGATCAGGACTTATGAACTCATGCATTTTATTGGGAACCCTGCATTATGATTAAATAATGTCATATTTTATGACTAAATTTTGTTTATAAAATATGTTTATTTGTATACTGGAAAGTTGATATCACAGTAACACTGTTACTCAAAGCATCAAATGGACCAGATATCTTTTGGCTTTTTGTGTTATTGGTTTGCTGTTTCATTGAGAAATACCCTGCAGAACATTTTCTTCAAAGCAAAATTCCCATAGGAAGGATGGTGTGTTAAAATAATGGTTATGTATTCTAAGATATATACATTTCACAATGAAAGTTTGGTTTAATACTAAACTTTAAGAGACCAGACACAATTGATCATAAGTATACTGAATTGTTCAAGACTTATGATCAATTAAAGTTTGTAAGATTTTTTTGTGAAACTTGGGTCTGATGGATAAAATACACCAACCAATGCATTCTTGTAAAAATGGTTTTGTTTTTAATATTAATATGTTATTTCCTTTGTTATAGAATATTTTATCGGAATACTGTTAATTTTTGTGAAGGAAAGAAGTAGTTTGCAAGTAAACATTAATTTCAGATGCGATTCATACTTGTAAAATGTTTAAGAAGAGACAGAGACTATTTTTATCAGACAAACTAGTTAAATGGTCTTGTGCACGGACAGTGTGTGGCTCACGAAATGGGTTTCACCTGTTACTATGCCACTGATAAAAGAAAAAAACAAATGTTTTAAAATTTAAGACTAATGTATTTCCATCTCAACTAATGTTTTTCTTTAGAAGAGAATGACAATTTTAGATATGTATACTCACATACACATTTGAGAGATGTTATTTGTTTATTGCTTAAATGGTGTAAAAATCTGTATTACCATTGAAATATGAATAAATCATGAAATCGTTCAGTATAGATTTAACACACTTCTATATACCCACTTTAACAACGGGTGCCACATGTGGAGCAGGATCTGTGCACCCTTCAGGAGCACCTGAGATCACCCCCAGTTTATGGTTTGTGTTGCTCAGTCTTCAGTTTAATTCGTGGGTTTTGTGTACTGTTGTTTGTCTTGATTTTTGTTTTTAGCCATTGTGTTGACTGTCAGTTAATTTTCGATTTATGAGTTTGAATGTCCTTTGGTATCTTTTGCTTCTCTTTAACAAACATTCTTATTAAATCTAGATATCTTAACTGTCTGTATGCTTAGTGGTCATCTTCATTTGCTATTCTGTCCACTGCCAGTATGTTATAGGTCATCTTCATTGACTATTCTGTTCATTGTCAGTATGTCTAGTGGTCATCTTTATGGGCTATTCTGTCCAATGCCAGTATGTCTAGTGGTCATCTTTATTAAATGTTATGTTCACTGTCAGTATGTCTAGCGGTCATTTCATTGGGTATTTTTTCCACTGCCAGTTTGTTTAGTAGGCATTTTTATTTGTTATTATACCCTCGTCCGTCCGTGCGTCCCATGAATATTTTCGGTCGTATTTTTCTCAGGAACTATATCATACAGATTTCTGAAATTTGGTTTCAGGGTTTATATAAGTCAGTTATACTGTGTGATGTGTTTACAGATTCATCACTCACACTGGAAGTATTTTAGTGGTAATTTCAATTGCCTATTCTTTCCACTGTCAGTATGTCTAGTGGTCATCTTCATTGGCTAGTGTGTCTTCATTCAGTATGTCTAGTGTTCATCTTAATTGACTAGTGTGTCTACTATCAGTATGTCTAATGGTCATTTTAATTGGCTATTCTGTCATATACCATCTTTTCCGCAAGTTTATTGTTTTCTGTTTAGTATTTAATTTATAATTAAGATCCATTTATTACATCGGTGATCCCTTTATTTGGCAATCGCCAATGGCAGTCAGCAGGGTTTAAGAACATTTGTTGTTCGACCTGTTAGTCAAATGCGTTTTGTTAAAATATACTTTTTCACTTTTTTGGTCTTTTGGAAATGTTGTTTGTGCTGTATTTAGACCCCTCTAACAAGAAATTTGTTTTGCATGCACACGTATAAAAATTGCGGTTTTTATCCAACGCAATCATAGGTTTGAACGTTGTTTTCAATTTAGACAAAAACAAGTCTAAATTGAAAACAACGTTCAAACCTATGATTGCGTTGGATAAATACCGCAATTTTAATACGTGTGCATGCAAAACAAATTTCTTGTTAGAGGGGTCTAAATACAGCACAAACAACATTTCCAAAAGACCAAAAAAGTGAAAAAGTATATTTGAACAAAACGCATTTGACTAACAGGTCGAATATTTTTTCGTTTGGGATTGTATTATATTTGCCTTCGGGTTTATATGATCCGTTCATCCTATTTTGACTCCTCAAAATTCAAGAGTCTATCCTAAATTGAGGTAAATTGTATGGCTTTCCAAATACCGTTTCGATTCCTAGCATCACTGAAGAGACATTAATTGTCGAAATCCGGATATGGTATACAAAAATCTTTGCACCCTTTGTTTGCGTTATACCATCTTTTCCAAAAGTTTATTGTTTTTCTGTTTAGTATTTAATTCATAATTAAGATCCATTTATTACATCGGTGATCGGTTTATTTGGCAATCGCCAATGGCAGTCAGCAGGGTTTAAGAACATTTGTTGTTCGACCTGTTAGTCAAATGCGTTTTGTTAAAATATACTTTTTCACTTTTTTGGTCTTTTGGAAATGTTGTTTGTGCTGTATTTAGACCCCTATAACAAGAAATTTGTTTTGCATGCACACGTATAAAAATTGCGGTTTTTATCCAACGCAATCATAGGTTTGAACGTTGTTTTCAATTTAGACTTGTTTATATTTTTTCGTTTGGGATTGTATTATATTTGCCTTCGGGTTTATATGATCTGTTCATCCTATTTTGACTCCTCAAAATTCAAGAGTCTATTCTTAATTGAGGTAAATTGTATGGCTTTCCAAATACCGTTTCGATTCCTAACATCACTGAAGAGACATTAATTGTCGAAATCCGGATATGGTGTACAAAAATCTTTGCACCTTTTGTTTGCGGTATACCATCTTTTCCGCAAGTTTATTGTTTTCTGTTTAGTATTTAATTTATAATTAAGATCCATTTATTACATCGGTGATCCGTTTATTTGGCAATCGCCAATGACAGTCAGCAGGGTTTAAGAACATTTGTTGTTCGACCTGTTAGTCAAATGCGTTTTGTTAAAATAAACTTTTTCACTTTTTTGGTCTTTTGGAAATGTTGTTTGTGCTGTATTTAGACTCTTCTAACAAGAAATTTGTTTTGCATGCACACGTATAAAAATTGCGGTTTTTATCCAACGCAATCATAGGTTTGAACGTTGTTTTCAATTTAGACTTGTTTATATTTTTTCGTTTGGGATTGTATTATATTTGCCTTCGGGTTTATATGATCCGTTCATCCTATTTTGACTCCTCAAAATTCAAGAGTCTATTCTTAATTGAGGTAAATTGTATGGCTTTCCAAATACCGTTTCGATTCCTAACATCACTGAAGAGACATTAATTGTCGAAAGTACAAAAATCTTTGCACCTTTTGTTTGCGGTATACCATCTTTTCCGCAAGTTTATTGTTTTCTGTTTAGTATTTAATTTATAATTAAGATCCATTTATTACATCGGTGATCCGTTTATTTGGCAATCGCCAATGGCAGTCAGCAGGGTTTAAGAACATTTGTTGTTCGACCTGTTAGTCAAATGCGTTTTGTTAAAATAAACTTTTTCACTTTTTTGGTCTTTTGGAAATGTTGTTTGTGCTGTATTTAGACCCCTCTAACAAGAAATTTGTTTTGCATGCACACGTATAAAAATTGCGGTTTTTATCCAACGCAATCATAGGTTTGAACGTTGTTTTCAATTTAGACTTGTTTATATTTTTTCGTTTGGGATTGTATTATATTTGCCTTCGGGTTTATATGATCCGTTCATCCTATTTTGACTCCTCAAAATTCAAGAGTCTATCCTAAATTGAGGTAAATTGTTTGGCTTTCCAAATACCGTTTCGATTCCTACCATCACTGAAGAGACATTAATTGTCGAAATCCGGATATGGTGTACAAAAATTTTTGCACCTTTTGTTTGCGGTATACCATCTTTTCTGCAAGTTTATTGTTTTCTGTTTAGTATTTAATTTATAATTAAGATCCATTTATTACATCGGTGATCCGTTTATTTGGCAATCGCCAATGGCAGTCAGCAGGGTTTAAGAACATTTGTTCGACCTGTTAGTCAAATGCGTTTTGTTAAAATATACTTTTTCACTTTTTTGGTCTTTTGGAAATGTTGTTTGTGCTGTATTTAGACCCCTATAACAAGAAATTTGTTTTGCATGCACACGTATAAAAATTGCGGTTTTTATCCAACGCAATCATAGGTTTGAACGTTGTTTTCAATTTAGACTTGTTTATATTTTTTCGTTTGGGATTGTATTATATTTGCCTTCGGGTTTATATGATCCGTTCATCCTATTTTGACTCCTCAAAATTCAAGAGTCTATCCTAAATTGAGGTAAATTGTATGGCTTTCCAAATACCGTTTCGATTCCTACCATCACTGAAGAGACATTAATTGTCGAAATCCGGATATGGTGTACAAAAATCTTTGCACCTTTTGTTTGCGGTATACCATCTTTTCCGCAAGTTTATTGTTTTCTGTTTAGTATTTAATTTATAATTAAGATCCATTTATTACATCGGTGATCCGTTTATTTGGCAATCGCCAATGGCGGTCAGCAGGGTTTAAGAACATTTGTTGTTCGACCTGTTAGTCAAATGCGTTTTGTTAAAATAAACTTTTTCACTTTTTTGGTCTTTTGGAAATGTTGTTTGTGCTGTATTTAGACCCCTCTAACAAGAAATTTGTTTTGCATGCACACGTATAAAAATTGCGGTTTTTATACAACGCAATCATAGGTTTGAACGTTGTTTTCAATTTAGACTTGTTTATATTTTTTCGTTTGGGATTGTATTATATTTGCCTTCGGGTTTATATGATCCGTTCATCCTATTTTGACTCCTCAAAATTCAAGAGTCTATCCTAAATTGAGGTAAATTGTATAGCTTTCCAAATACCGTTTCGATTCCTACCATCACTGAAGAGACATTAATTGTCGAAATCCGGATATGGTGTACAAAAATCTTTGCACCTTTTGTTTGCGGTATACCATCTTTTCTGCAAGTTTATTGTTTTCTGTTTAGTATTTAATTTATAATTAAGATCCATTTATTACATCGGTGATCCGTTTATTTGGCAATCGCCAATGGCAGTCAGCAGGGTTTAAGAACATTTGTTGTTCGACCTGTTAGTCAAATGCGTTTTGTTAAAATATACTTTTTCACTTTTTTGGTCTTTTGGAAATGATGTTTGTGCTGTATTTAGACCCCTCTTTCAAGAAATTTGTTTTGCATGAACACGTATAAAAATTGCGGTTTTTATCCAACGTAATCATAGGTTTGAACGTTGTTTTCAATTTAGACTTGTTTATATTTTTTCGTTTGGGATTGTATTATATTTGCCTTCGGGTTTATATGATCCGTTCATCCTATTTTGACTCCTCAAAATTCAAGAGTCTATCCTAAATTGAAGTAAATTGTATGGCTTTCCAAATACCGTTTCGATTCCTAACATCACTGAAGAGACATTAATTGTCGAAATCCGGATATGGTGTACAAAAATCTTTGCACCTTTTGTTTGCGGTATACCATCTTTTCCGCAAGTTTATTGTTTTCTGTTTAGTATTTAATTTATAATTAAGATCCATTTATTACATCGGTGATCCGTTTATTTGGCAATCGCCAATGGCGGTCAGCAGGGTTTAAGAACATTTGTTGTTCGACCTGTTAGTCAAATGCGTTTTGTTAAAATATACTTTTTCACTTTTTTGGTCTTTTGGAAATGTTGT